ATGCCTGAGGTGGGGCCGGGGATAGAGGGCGTCAAGCCCCCGTACGGCTACAAGGGCAAGAAGGGCAAGGCCGGCGGCATCGTCTACGAGATGCCGGCGTTCACGGCAGAGCTGCTCACCCCCTTCCCCCGCGTCGGGGTCCCCGTGAAGTTCGACAAGCTCCTCTACAACGGCCGGCAGAACTACAACCCCCAGACAGGGATCTTCACCTGCGAGATCCCCGGCGTCTACTACTTCGCCTACCACGTCCACTGCAAAGGGGCCAATGTCTGGGTGGCGTTGTACAAGAACAACGAGCCGCTGATGTACACCTACGACGAGTACAAGAAAGGCTACCTGGACCAGGCTTCGGGCAGTGCCGTTGTCCAGCTGATGCCTGGAGACAAGGTTTATGTTCAAATGCCATCCGAGCAGGCAGCAGGACTCTATGCTGGGCAGTACGTTCATTCGTCGTTTTCAGGATATTTATTGTATCCCATGTAAAACAAAAAAAAACCCAGAAACACACAACACCCACACACGAAATCAAAACCTTTCTCCTCTGCTTCAAACTTTTATACCGTGAAAGATGCATTTTATGACAATTTTGGACCATCTTGTGCAAAAAAAAAAAATATAAAGTTTAACATTATGCACAGCTAGTTATAAAAAAAAAAAAATAAAGGTGTGGTGAACATATCTAAAGATGCATATCAGGTTCATAAACAGTTGTTTTGCACCCGAGGGGGACATATTAGCTGTACATTATATATTTCTGCAATGCCATGCTTTACTTAATTTCATTCACAATAATTCAGTACTGAATTTCAAATCAGTGTACGTCACTCACTCCTCTTGCATATTTGACTGTTGCGTCAATCATAGTATGAGATGAAAAAACAGTGACTTAAACCAGAGTAGGTCAGTCTCTACTTATATTTTTAAAATTGAGTGGCTTATTTGTCTGGGTGGGGGTTATCTTGTTTTCTTGACAGCAGGTCTGCCTGACAAGCAAAGGTTCTCTTAGCTGGAGACCTTTATTTCCCTTCCTCCCATATAGAATATTCCTGCAAGTGTGTTGTTTTTTTTCCTGAACAATTTATTTATGATGGAAAAGGAGTACTGATGGTGTAACTATTTCCCCTGAGGCTTCTCCAGCAGTCATTGGACCCAAAATGTCACCACTGACTCCAGCAGGCACTGGTTTCACCTCCAAATGCCACAGCATTCAGAAAGTCTCCATCTTCATTCGCACTGATGAAGTAGATGAGGTAAATCAGAGAAAAAAATGAAAGGTTCCCACTGCTTTGTGCCATGACATTGAGCCGTTTTGGCTAACACATGGCAAATACATCAGGGTGGCATAAATTTGCTTGGATTTCTGTGCTTGTACTAAGAACCTGTTTGGCTTGTCAGAAGAAAAACCTATTCTGTCACTCAGCAAAAGTTAAATCAGTTTACTTTTCAATGACTAGGCAAAGCAGAAGTAGCTCTGTTTGCTAATTAACTAATTTGTTGCTTGAGATCAACCGATAACTTTACCAGCAATACTGATCATGCAAATTTATCCAAGAACTTCATTTTATCTAAAAGCTGATTTCCGATCCTTATTTATACGTTACCAGTTGTCAAGGAGAACCTGCAGGCCTCAATCTTTTCTGTACTTGAGGACAGTGACTTCTCTGCAAGAAGTGTCTGTCTGCTCATCAATGGTGCTAATCTCACTTCAGCAGTGTTCCATTTCCAAAGGGCAGTGTACTTTGCTGTGGGTCCCTGTACAGTGCTGCACATCACACACTGTTGCGCTAGTTGAGAGTTAAATACTCATCACTTCTTCATTGTCTTTAGCTAACGCTACTGCTTTTGATTCAAAAATGAACTAGATTTTTCATGCAGAACTAAGATTGGATTTAACTGGCATTACCATTATTTAAATGCAGAGTTTAATGCAGTCTAACATTGACTAAGGACTCCAGTGATGTAATGTGGTGCTTTATCTCAGAAATTTTATGGAACGGTGGCAGGAATGGACGGACAGTTTACCAGACACTGGTGACTTCGGTATGTTCCCAGAAAATATGAGATATGTCAAAAGCAAATAATTTTGTATTTAAAATTTTTGTACTGATTTGAAAAAAAAAATATCTTATTAAATATCTTAAAAAATAAAACCAAAAAAACCAATCCTGTCTTTCTTCAGAAGGAACATTCAACATGCTGAATTAGTATATCAGACCACAAGGACTGTCTGAAATCACTGACAGCCTGATACAGGAAAAAAGAACAGTGAAGAGAGGTATCCCTTTCTTTAGCTCCCATCTCCTGGCAAAACCTGCCTTAAGTCACTGGAGGAACATGTTGTCCCAGTGTCACATTTAGCAGGAGGACATGGCAGGGGCTGTATGGAAAGCACAGAGTGAGGAGCTCCCTCAGGCAGCCCGTGGGGACAGGTTGAGAGATGCTCACCGCGTCCCTGGCTCTCCTGATGTGGCTTCCCTGACCTCACCTCAAAAACAGGCATTTCCTCTGAGCTGGCAAATCTCCATACCAAAAAGAATGCACTGAATACCTACTGCATCAGAATTGTTATCTAAATCTCCCTTAGATTCCCTGTAGCCCCCCAGCATCTCATTTTTACTGCTAATTATTAGCTAAGTACCACAGCATCTCTCACTTGGTATCTAAAGCCTTTCTCACTTTTTGAAGCCTTTTGTCACACACCATCTTCTTAGTTCAGCCGTTCCCCTGGGTCCTCAAGACAGGCAAGATTCAAAAGCCATGAAAAATTCAAACCAGGAGGATGCTGCTCTTATCTTAGCCACAAAACCCATGTCCCAGCTTTGCTTGCACTCAGCCTGGAGTGAGATGTCCACCCACAGTACAACTCAGCCCATTTAGATTCAAAGATTTTCAGCTGTTTGCTCTACTAAGCACCAGAGTTCATTCCAAACCTCGGCACCGCATCTTATCTGACACCACTGTGTACTTTACACCCCAATAATAACGGGGCTGGGCATGCCCACCCATCCACAGTCACACACACAGCACTGGCCTTGCAAAAATAAGTCTGAGGGCACCGTCTTTAACAGTTTATTCACAGGAAAATAATCTCTTTCCATTTATAGCATTCAGCATTTCACTGGAAACAGCTCTGAGAATGTCTTCATATCTGACACCACTGTGTACTTTACACCCCAATAATAACGGGGCTGGGCATGCCCACCCATCCACAGTCACACACACAGCACTGGCCTTGCAAAAATAAGTCTGAGGGCACCGTCTTTAACAGTTTATTCACAGGAAAATAATCTCTTTCCATTTATAGCATTCAGCATTTCACTGGAAACAGCTCTGAGAATGTCTTCAAAATACAGCTGGCACTTTAAAGGCATATAAAACTTAAGACAAACGGCAAATAAAATAAGTATTTACCGATACAAAAAACATACTTTGAGTTTTTGAGTTCTTAAAAATCAGAGTCACTTAAAATTTAAGGTATTTATACTATTTCCCAGGGCACTGTTAAAAAGCAAAGCATGACACTGGAAATAAGAGATACCACAGGCTAATTATTAAACACCAACGCTGGAAATCTGTATTATCACCAATACAGTCACCAATCATTAACATCTTTTAGGCACTCTCAGATTCATATTTAGTGCAATAGTCTGTAACGTTCCCTCTGAAGTCATATCTTGGTACTTCCCTTAATTATTACAGCAGAGGAAAGAACACTTTTCCAACAGAAAACAAAGCAAACCCCTGGAATTCTGAGCCAAAGAGAGCTTTCAGCCCATTTGTGTCATCCTGCCTGTTCTGTACATACTTTGGTACTTTAGAGCTGGGTCTTTCTGACAGTGCACATTTTGAGGGGGGTGGCAGATAAAACACAGGAGCACTTGCGTTGTAAGATGCTGCTGCCTGCCCCAACAGGCTGCTGGGGAACAGGACAGAGTGAGAAGGGAGTAGAGAATCTGATTTCACAACTGACAGAGGAATAAAAATGATGAGACAGCGAGTACCTATTATTTACACTGTTACCAGACATGGAAATTAGCAGCATGCTGGGATTCAAACTTGGCAGTTTCATTCCTGATGTGATAAAAAAAAATTGGACAGTTTTTAAAAGGGAAGTTTCAGTGCAGAGGTTTCTTTCACTTTCAGGAATTGCAAAAATGGAAAGTCTTAATAGCAGCTCGCTCTCAGAAAAGATTTAAGTATTTGGAGTTAGCATTACTGTTTTTTTTCTAAAAGCCCCAAGTCAAGTTTTCACTGGTGTTTTGGAATACCAAAGACATGTGCCCAGACAGAACACTCATCTATGAGCACTGCTGAAACACACTACATGTGGGTATTCTTGCCTGAGTGGAGTTAATGCCAAAGTGATACCCGTCCTCGGGACAGATGAGCAGATATGATGTGTGTGGTGCAGGTGATGCAGCAGGGCTGGTGTACACAGAATCCTACCAAAACATCTGATGAGGGGGAAATTAATTACGTGGCTCACTACTTCTTATTGAAGAGAAAAGCTACTGGCCTGCAAGCTGGGCTTTCGAAAAAACCTGGTACTCCATGGTTTAGCAAGAGTATCAGCTCTTTGCCTGGTCTACACCAAACAGGTTTGGCTCAGTTACCCTGGGACAGTAACCCTGGCATACTCACTCAATATCCTTGCAGGAACACAGAAGTGGGGGGGAAAATATCCCTGTGAGTACTGCTTCATTTCAAAAGTCATTCATACAAACTTATGGAGCTCATTAAAAAATAAAAAGGAGCACCAATATGGCTAAATGCTTGTAGACAGTGTATTAAATGCATTGAGAATACGTTATTTAAAAAAATAAATATCTTAGGGAGACCAAAAAAGGTAATGTGGTAAAAAAAAAAAAAAAAAAGAATAATAAAGGGTTCTACTTTAAGCACAAAGATTTAGGGAGACACCATTTGTTTGCCATTAAGCCTTTTTTTCCGATTATTTTGTTTCTTCTGCTATAGTTAGAATCCAAACTCCACCCTCCCACAAACAGCAGAAAACCTCCTAGGAAAACTAAGAGAAGGAATCAGTTTAGATTAGTGGGAAGAACATCTCTGGAGATGAAACAAAGCAAAGAGAATAACCACACCCTCAAGAGCAGAGCTCCCTACCCACTTCCTGACACTGGGGACAGCAGAGAAGCAGAGGAAAGCAGCCTGCACCATCACAAGAACTCTCCTCACCATGTCTGGAGCAAATTCAACAGCTCTCCTGGAAAAATTCCTCATGAACAGCCTACTGCAAGACACGAGACAGGTGCAGCTGGATCATGGAAGGGGCTTTCGAAAAAACCTGGTACTCCATTGGTACTCCAGCCATTGGGAGAGTTGTGGAAGCAACTGCTGATTTTGAAGGTGATGAGGCAGCCCCCCACTTCTGCCTGCCTCAGCTCTCAACACAGTCCAAGATCTACCAGAGACTTCTATGCAACAAGAGCTTGGACAACACTGGTCTACACTCTGCAAAAAGCCTTACCACAGCATCTTTGTCATGTGGCATTACTATGGCAGTGGTTTAAATCACTGCAGGTCTGGGGCTGCAGGGTCATACACCAGCCTTTTTGTTAACTAAATAATCAGGAGAAATAAATGCTGATAGAAAGACAGTGCTGTCACTGTTTCCTGATGTGAAACCCCATCTGTTTGTATTCACACTTTTAAGTAAAGATCTTCTCAAAGCCTCAAAAAATGTGCATGTTTTCAAAAAAGAAAAAAGAAATGCAAATAACTAAGAGCCCTTCTGACACCTGGTGAAGAAATTACAGTTTCCTCCATTTCCACCACCAGAATCACCTGCTCCAGTGCCCCAGGACCTGCTGTGCTCCCCTCTCCTCCACACTCTTGCCTGTCACCCAGCAAACAGCTGCACTGCAGCTGCACGCAAAGGACACACAGCTGACAAGACACCATAGCACAGCCTGTCCCTTTCTAGGGACAGGTGGGTCCTCCCTCGCCCTATGCCACAGATTTTTCTGACATCCAGAGTTATTTCAGGTATGTCCAACTTGCTTGAAACAGAACAAGGCTCAGGAGTCGTTAGGTGAAAACAAAACCCTCTTCCCCTTCAGCTGTGGGTCCCTTCCAAATCATACAGCCCTTGTTAATTCCCAAATGGCAGACCCAAGGAGCTAAAGCTGGCAATGAGAATTATAGGAAGGTGGGTGTTTTCTTTAAAAGAAAAATACCTACTGCACTCCACAAGAGTAATAGAAAAAAGAAAGATGACTCTTTGGCTTATTCCTCCACATTGCTGCAGCAAAGAAATTGTGCTCAGTACTCTTGTAATCCTCAGCTTCTGAAAATAACAAATGCTCTTGACCTGCTAAGAAGTCTGTATACTGCATCATAATGCAATAATTTTCATTACTCCAAATTATATACTCCATATAATTTGATTTAAAAGGAGCAAAGGTATTCCTACCAACAAGATTTTATTTTTTTTGGAACTGGACTTCTTCATGCTTTCTTTAGGTGTGATTGATCAATATAACCACAAAATCTTCCAGAAAATCTGCCAAAATTAAAGTAAAAACTTTATATACACACCCTGTGAGAGAACTGAAACAGCACATTACTTGTTTTTCTTTGACAGCACATTCCCAGGAAGATATCATTCATTCTGCAGGCTGGTCAGGGACAAACCAATACAGGAAACATAAACAACCCATTAAATGTTTCAATTAAAATCTCAAGTGAGTTCACACTGCTAAATGGTTCAGTTCAGCCACATAGTTTAAACCTAAATGTCAAGACAGGAGAGGTAAACAGAAGCCAAATGATAATTCAGCTGAGGTACGTCTTGGATATTCCTTACCATACTCTACTGCCAAAAAAAGGGAACATTCACTGCTCATACTAATGCATTTCAAAGGTGGAAATGCATTACAGCATCTGAGGAAGGAGACTGTGCTCATTTGGGGAAAAAACCCCATCTCAATTCTTGGAGAGCAAACAAAGATACATGAGATCTTGCCCTGGAGATCTAGGAATCCAACAAGAATTGGCTGGAGATCAGTCTTCATACTCCCTTTTTAAAGCCAAATCACTAACTACAAAATTTATTGGATGCACAGCACAGGGAGTATGATTTTTTCAGAAAAAGGGTACAATACAAGCATTGTCAGATTCTCCAGCAATCGGACCAAAGGGTCTTCACCTTCAGCAAAGGCAGCAGCAGTTCAGAGTCTATGGCCAGTGCAGCAGCTGTGGCTTCTTTATTGAAGGGAGACATCCTCTCCTCAGGAGTATGGCAAACCAAAATTTGCATGCTCTGTATGTTCCCCCGTTCTCCAGAACACACAGCAACGATTTATAGGTATCGTTTTAAAGCCATTTTCATACTATAAGACAGATACTCCAGTCTTTACATCCATCTACTAATTCAACACTGGTCATCTCAGTCTCTTGACCTCTCCTGTTTTGGAGGGATACTAGAAACAAAAGTATTCCAGAGAAGTAATCAGTTGGAAAGAGTTTTTGCTGATAAATAAGTGATGTACATCACATTTTTATATATCCCTGATACTTTCAGATGAAAGTTTCATGGTTTTCCCACTATTAAATAGCTTCCACAGAAATTGTTAACTCTGTTTGAAATTAGTCCATTACCCTCAGGCTTAGAAGAAGCTTCTGCCTTGGTGAGGTTTACTGGCTCCTTTTAAACAGTAAACAGTCATGCTGAACTTAAAAAATAAAAATGTCATACAAAAAATAAAAAAATTTCAACTCTTGAAAATAGTGAATGTTCTTTGTGTTTTCCATTCAGCTTTCATGTCAAATTGACCACAAAGTTCTTGTCTATAAGCTTCTTCAGAAAATTCTGCTCGGCGCTGATGTTGTGGTATTCATTCTAAAGATGTGTCAGGGAAAAATAAAAACAGAAAAAAAAATCACATTATAACCAGAAACATCACTTCGCTGCTCTTTTCTTTCTATTACCTGTAATACTTGGAAGACGTTAAGAGTAGAAAAGCTCTGGGGAAAAGACTTGTTAGCAAAGGCTTAGCACAGTCTCTCAAGAAAACAGGTGACTGTTGCTCAAAACTAGGTTAGATTTTTCCATCAGGACACAAACCAAAAGGGATGAACCTTCAGTGGCAAGAATGGTGAGATGTGGTCTCACAGAAGTCCACTCTCCCAACTCCTCCCCCTGCTTAGACAAAAGAGCTGCATAACCACATTTACAGCACAAGCAGTCAGTAAATGAGTAATTCTCAAAGCTCAATGCAGGTTCTTGAAAAGCACATGTCAAGCATTTGTAGTTCTGGTATATCCCCTGCCAGTCAGTTTTGGCAAGTCAAAACCAACCCATCTTCTGTGCTCTATCCAGAACCCAGATGCACAAGAGACCACTGAGGTTAGTGGGGGACAGCACAAGGAAAGTAATTTACTTAAGACACTGAATCCAGTAAATTAAAATTAATGTAATATGAATACAGCATAAAATATGATACAAATATAGTGTACTATTCACAACTTAATGCTCCTAAAGATTTAATGATAAGATTGTTTGTTTTTCAAAGTTTCAAGATTTTAGGAAACTTACGGATGTCTCTTCAACTAGTGATCAACCTTAATCAAGCTTGGTATACATTGTAAAGAAAGCACCTGCAGAGAGGAGCCTCAAACAGAAAGTGAATTCAGAGGAAAATTATCTGAGAGCAGCAGGCACCTAGGAGTCCTGAGAGAGACATGAGAGACTCCTATAGGCATTGTCCCTACCATTCCTCTTCAGAAAAGGGAAGAGGAAGAAAATGGTTCTCATATGCACCAGGCATGCACATGGAAGAGAAAACTGTTCACACTGAGGTGAAGGGCTGAGATGGAGTTGTTTGGAGTACACAGCTGAAGGCAACTGAAGCCAAGAGCAGAGACAAAAAAGAAAACAGAGGCATAACCAATAACAAAGCAGAAGGCATCCCTGATGTTTGCCAGCCTCTTGCTGCTCTCCTCCTAGTGAGTTGTGACTTCCCCCTCCTGGAAGCAGCTCCTTCTCTTCCCAGCCTCCTCCAAGAGCTGCTTTTCTTATCTGCTTTCAATTTCCAAAATTCTGTTCTTTTCCTAATTGCAAGTTTATTGGGCTTAACTCCTTCCACTTCCCTTTGCTCTTCTTTCTCTCTCTTAAGAAGTGAGGCAGCTGTGACAAATCGTACAAGCAGATGCCAAGGAAAAGGAAAATGCAAACAGAAGCAACACCACTCATGTTCTGACAGCGCAAACAAAGAGGTATCTGACGAGAGTTGTGCAACCTAAGGACAACACCAGCAAAGCAGAACAGAGCACACAAATGGACAGAAATCATGCAGACATTTCAGAATATGGTGTAGCACAAAGGACACAAATATCCGTATTTTTCAAAAACAATAGCAGAGAGAAAGAGGTTCAAGCAATGCTAACCCACAAGCAGCTGAACCAGGAGAATGCAGGAGGCTTTTCTGACCTGCAGTTCATGTTTCTATCCATACTGAACTGCTTTGCCAGTTACCAGCTGTATTTTTCTAAGCATAGACAAGTGGTAGTTACCTGCATCATCTGAGACATTGTGTCATTGCCATAGTAGTGCAAAGAACTGTTTCTGTCAGTGAAGTCGTACTTGAAGCCTGCCAGGTGAACTTCATGGCATATGTGAAACGCCAGTGTTATGGCAATCAGCCCCGTTGTTGGATGCTTGGGTTTCTAAAACAAAACACAAAAAGAGAACACATACATAACTACCTGGTAGCTTGACATCAACAGCAAACGTAAGACCAAAGACAAGGGGAATTAGGCAGTCTAGGCCTTCTACAGATATTTGGCTACACAGTTTGATCCCCTCATATCTGAAAAAGAGCTAAGGTACCGCTCGCAGGTTTCCCATGGCTGGGGTGTCTGCCATGTCAGCCTTCCCTCAGGTTCTCTGGTTTGCAGTGAGGGCTGAGTCCACAGTGTAGCTCTTCTCTCCACAGAGCCATCAAGAAGGTCTCCCCATAGCTCTACTCAGCTACTTTCAGTAAACTGGCCAAGCTTCAATACATCGAAGACCATTTCATACCACCAAATTTGACTGAATCACCAGACGTGTTCAGAATTTTCTTGATGATGGAGATCCAGATGAACAGAACAACATGACATGCCTCAAATCTTCCTAACACCAAACTAAAAAAGCGTGAACATTACTGCTACACAAATTTGACTGAATCTGAACTTTTTCAAAGCAGGAAAATTCCAGAAGAATATGGCTTTAGACCTTCCCCTACTACTCCCATTAAAAGAAAAGA